GTGTGTGTGTGTGTGTGTGTGTGTGCGTGTGTGCGTGTGTGTGTGTGTGTGTATGTGTGCACGTGTGTGTATGCATGCATGTGTTTAAGATTGTCGAAGACATGTAGAGGGATTGTAGATCATTTATTGGGACGAATAGTAAGGATTGTAAAAGATTGTGACAGAGGTTCAGAGGTATTGCAGAGTATCTCGGTCTGTTGTATCCCTACCACCCCTGGTTGGCCCTTAGAGGTAGGGTTAGAAGCCCGCAGCCTAGAAGAAGAAGAAGAAGAAGAAGAAGAAGAAGAAGAAGAAGAAGAAGAAGAAGAACAACAACAACAACAACAACAACAACAACAACAACAACAACAACAAGTCGATGAACTAAACGATCTATATTATATGTGAGGCATCGTGGTGGAATCAGGCTCTCGTCAAAATAATCAAAGTAAAGAAACTTGCATTTTTTCCGCCGGTTTTTGAATTTTTATCAAATTTTTGTTTTTTTCGCTCAACACCTTTCATGCCAATTAAAGAACGCATTTCTGTGTGGATTTTTCTGAAAAACGCTGATAAAATCACCAAAAAAATGTAAATCTTCAGTTACCACGAACTCTAAAGCTAAGGACATAACTAATCTTTGGCGGCCATTTTCTCCCTAATTTTACTTTTGAAAACAGGTGACCCCCATCTCTTTCTTTCGCAAATGTCTCGACTTGTATTCAAGATGAATGGGTATTTTTTCCATCCAAATAAAGACAGGTGAACAAGCTTTAAAATGGTACCCATAACTCTACATGCTCAAAAATTAACGAGAGCCTGATTCCACCACGCTGCCTCACAAATATCGATCAGGCCGTAAAAACACTTATATTATTTAACTCTATCCGTACGCCCTGGAGTTATTTTGTATCCCCTGGGTTGTATTCTTCACATATTAAAAGACTTCTAGTGCGAAGATCTCTTTGAAACTTTTCATTATTTCTCAAAAAATCATTTTGACAGACTGCTATGCAAAGCGTACGGATCGGATTAACGAGTAAATTTCCTCTTTGGAAAGTGGTGGTACAGAGTTCCCCATGGCGTATGGATACCATAGTAAAACGCGACGTACTGATAGGATTAAGTGGTGGCACAGAGTTCCCCACGTCGTATGGATACGATAGTAAAACACGACGTACTGATAGGATTAAGTGGTGGCACAGAGTTCCCCATGGCGTATGGATACGATAGTAAAACTCGATGTACGGATAGGGTTATGTGGTGGTACAGAGTTCCCCACGTCGTATGGATACGGTAGTAAAACACGACGTACGGATAGAATTAAATGGTGGCACACAGTTCCCCACGTCGTATGGATACGATAGTAAAACACGACGTACGGATAGGTTTTAAAATAATAAACTCTATGTTTGTGTGTTTATTTGTCAGACCTACTTGGCGCCATAAGGGACCGTGCCCTGGATGAACTGGTCAACGCCATCACTCTGGTGAAGGAGAGAGGCTATGAGCACAGGATGGTCAGTGAGCTGAGGGAGGCCACCAAGATGATGGAGAGACTGCAGCATATCCAAGACCTGCTGCATGATGTTAGTCTTCTCTATGTCTGTCTGTCTGTCTGTCTGTCTGTCTGTCTGTCTGTCTGTCTATCTGTCTGTCTGTCTGTCTGTCTGTCTGTCTGTCTGTCTGTCTGTCTGTCTGTCTCTCTCTCTCTCACTGTAGGTGTGATTTTGTATGTATGATTCTGTATGTGCATGTGTGTGTGTTTGTGTGTGTGTATGTGTGTTTGTATGTGTGTATGTTTGTGTATGTGTGTGTCTGTGTGTGTTTGTGTGTGTGGATCTGTCTGGATATGCATCTGTATTTGTGCCTCTGTCTTTTTCTGTCTGTCTGTCTGTCTGTCTGTCTGTCTGTCTGTCTGTCTGTCTGTCTGTCTGACTGCCTATGTCTGTTTATGAGATATCTGCCTTTTTCTGTCTTTGATTTTATCTTTTTTCAGTGTGTCGATGTGTCTGTGTGTCTGTCTGTTCAACCAATATTCCTGTCTTCCAAATCCTTTTACATATATAATCTATCTATCCATCCATCCACCCACCTATCCATCCATCCATCCATCCATCCATCCATCCATCCATCCATCCATCCATCCACTCCATCATCCACCCACAGGTACAGACAATGAGCCAGAAGACTATCACAGAAATCCGCGGCTACTCTAGTCTCTCTCTCTCTCTCTCTCTCTCTCTCTCTCTCTCTCTCTCCCTCCATCCATCCATCCATCTATCCATCCATCCATCCATCCATCCATCCATCCATCCATCCATCCATCCATCCATCCACCCACAGGTACAGACAATGAGCCAGAAGACTATCACAGAAATCCGCGGCTACTCCAGCCCTCCCCCCGCCGTACACAGAGTCATGATGGCTACCTTACTGTTGCTGGGGCATTTTGAGGAGGAGACTCAGGTATGTCTGTCTGTCTGAGTGTCTGTTTGTTTGTTTGTCAGTCCGTCAGTTAGTTTGTTTGTCTGTCTGTCGGCCTGCTCCACCTATCTATCTATCTATCTATCTATCTATCTATCTATCTATCTATCTATCTATCTAAATGTCTGGTTTTCTGTCTATATGTCTATTTGTCTGTCTGTTTATCTGCCAGCCTGCCTGTCTCTCTGCCTGCCTGTCTGTCTGTCTGTCTGTCTGCCTGTATATGATGAAAATCCTTCTCTTGCATGGATATTCTGACGCGGAGACTCATGTTCATTGTCTTTCTGGCTGTCTGTATTTCTGTTTGATGATGATGATGATGATGATGATGATGATGATGATGATGATGATGATGATGATGATGATAATGATGATGATGATGATGATGAGGATGATGATGATGAGGATGATGATGATGAGGAGGATGAGGATGATGATGATGATGATGATGATGATGATGAGGATGATGATGAGGATGAGGATGATGATGATGATGATGAGGATGACCCTCGTTGTTAGGCCCATTTCCCCTGTAATATACAGCGCCCATTTAGTTGGGTTTTTTCTCAGTTGCTCCTGAGGAAGCCCAAGAGGCGAAACGTTGAGCAGTGTCTATTAAACACATTTGAAACATTTTATATGGTTATGTTATTTTGTCTGAAATTCAAACAAGACTCTCCCTCCAACTCTGATTTCCAAACAATGATGATTTTACAGCTAGTGTAGATCTAGATACTTGTTATTTATATTTTGAATGTTCCTGAGGAAGCCCGTTGAGGACGAAACGTTGAACTTGTGATAATTTTTTTGGAAATACTACCAGGTCTTACCTGTTTTAATATCTGCGTTAAACAATGATGATGATGATGATGATGATGATGATGATGATGATGATGATGATGATGATGTTTATTACAATTGTTATTGCTATGATTTCGTTATAATTTATGTATTTAATTATACTTACAATCATTTTTTTTCGTTTTCTATTTCCTTTTCCAGGACTGGCTCAAACTCCAAGCCATCATCGGCAAGACGGGCCGAGACTCCATCAAAAAACGCTGTGAAGAACTCAACCTTGACGACGTGCCTCTGGACATAGCCCTGGGCGCCCGGCATCTGCTCAAAGACTACACGCTTGACCAGTGCCGGATGGTCAGTTCAGGGGCTGCCACCTTTTACGTCTGGGTGAGTCATTTTGTTGTCGTCGTTGTTGTTATTGAATTTGTGGTTGTTGTTGTTGTTGTTGTCGTTGTTGTTGTTGTTGATATAGTTGTGGTTATTGTTGTTATTATTGCTACTGTTGTTGTTGCTTTGGGAGTTGTTGTTGTTGCTGTTGTTGTTGTTGATATAGTTGTGGTTATTGTTGTTGTTATTGTTACTGTTGTTGTTGCTTTGGAAGTTGTTGTTGTCGCTGTTGTTGTTGTTGTTGCTGTTGTGGTTATTTTTGTTGCAGCTGTTGTTTTTATTGTAGCTACTGTTGTTGCTTTTGGAGTTATTGTTGTTGCCATTGTTGTTGTTGTTGTTGTTGTTGTTGTTGTTGTTGTTGTTGTTACTGTTATAGTTGTAGTTGCTGTTATTGTTGTCGTTGTTGCTGTCGATCAAGAAACAGCTGGGTTCTCGCCCTCCTGTACAACTTCATGCTTTTAAAAATATAATTTGGTTGCTTTTACGCTCCCATTGAGGCAATTTTAGGTAGATCAAGCTCAGTCAGCCTTGGTGTGTTATGGTCTTAGCTGTCATGGCAGAAAAAGAAACCTTTTCAATAAAAGTGCATAATATTATTGTGTGTATGTAAATGTGGGTGTTTGTCTGAGGGTGTGTATGTGTGTGTGTGTGTGTGTGTGTGGGTGTGTCTATTTGTGTGTGTGTGTGTGTGTGCGCACGTGTGTGTGTGTGTGTGTGTTTGACAGAGGGTGAAAGAGAGTGAGAGAGGAGTAGAAACAGAAAGAAAGAGACACTCAGAGAGAGAGAGAGAGAGAGAG